AAAAATCCCTCAGTGATGAAGTCTTGCTCAAGCACATCCCACCCATTTCACAGGGAGCCAGTTAGTCAGTCTGTGATCCCTCCCGAGGTTCTGTTACCTTGGTGGGTATTAACAGTCACTACCAGGCCTTCCGAGAAGCCTGTGCCACCTTCATCAACACTCACAGCCCACAGGTGGAGGCCCTGCTCTACGGAACAGGGAACCCAGGCTTGACCAGCAAGCCCCCATTACTGGCAGAACTGAGGGAATCACAGTAATTCATCTGCTTCCTCCAACTCCACTGAAACAAAACCGTGACTGGACAGCGGCATGGGTATCAAGCTGCATCAGGCACACTTATACAAATGAAGTTACTTTAATACAAGACAACCAGATGGGCGATACACGGCAGCTCAACAGAGCAGTTCCAAAATCAGACTGCTAGGTGTGGGGTCCTGACACCAGTGTGGGGTTCTGTCACCTCTCCCTCTGGGTTACCTGTAATGAGAATTCTGTTCCCCGCCCCCATGCATTCAGAAGAGATGCCATACAAGGTAACAGTGGTTACTTTTGCTCCTCAACAGAACTGGTACATTCCCCAGGGTCATCTCTAAGACCCGGGGCACAGCAACTCTCCGGCTCCATAGTAAGACGCAGAATACAGGCCCATACCTGATGGCCTACACTGATGTTTTCTGATTTAGGGGTGCCAGGGGCAGTACTCAACACATCCAGTGACCACATGGAAACAGAAGCCATCTGGAAATGTCCCTGCACCCTACCTGGGCTGGCAAGGGCTGGGCCTGTTTAGAGGAAGTGAAGGAGGGTGCTACTACAACAAAAACTAAATCAATGAGGCTGAATTAAATAACTTCATCCCAATAAGGACACTGAAATATATCCCAGCAAAACAGTCATCTGCTTTAAATGGGAACTGTCCTCAAGCACTGCTGTGACTACATCTGAAAGTCAACATGCATTCTTGTTGCTAACCTACATGTGCGAATTCCAGGACGCTCTGAAGTGAATCCTATTTAAAGCTGACATTTATACAGATGCTAAGACTCGAGAGATTATTAAAGTGGGCCTCCAAACTATACAGCAAATGTCTGCCTAAACAGTGATATAGAATATAAACCTGCATTTCATAGTTCCAGGTTCTGTGACTCCCCAAATGGCATTACCATTTTTGCTTTGGGGGGAGCACCTCTCACAGGACCCCTGGAGAAGTGGCTTCTTTGGTTGGCTTTCTGCTCTGGTCTGGTAGCTAAACACTAATGTCTTCCATAAGATGTCTATGTTTCTTGTAACATCTGCCTGGATTTCCTAATATTCTTCATCAGGGGCTTGAAAAAGACATCCAGCCAGCACAAGTGAGGCAGAAGCCACAGTGCGTACAAATCCTATTACAGAAGTATTTCCAAGACCGTAGTGGCTCAAAATTAAATCTGACTTTTGGAATTGCACTAGTAATTTAATGTAGTCATGTGAGTTTAATCAACCCCTTACCTCTAATTCTCATGCTTAATCAGAAGTAAACGAAACTTACAGAGACCCTGCAGGCCCTAACACTCTGCTAAAATACGGGACGGGACTCTGATCTAGTTCCCACCGCATGACAGCTCACAACTGTTCGAAGTGCACCAAGCACGCATGCACTGCACATACACAAACACAGGCAAAACTCTCACACACAAGACAAACTTGGAAGCACTCCTTCAAACAGTACCACAGGCAGATCTGATTGTGCACATAAGGCAGTTTAATGAGGCTGGAGGAGCCTAGACCAGCATTCCTTTGGGGTTCATACACAGCTGGCCGTGGTCTTCCTGCAGTCCCCCATCTGACTTCTTAAAGAGTCACTGTCAAACACAAAGGGCGTGATGCTAGCAAACTTGATTTTACACGTGCAAACCTAGCTTCTGTTGTAGTCAGCTGCTGAAGCAGAGGGTTCCTTAGTCAGTGTGATGACAGACTGCCTAGTCTAAAAGGAGGGACAGAAGGATGAGGGAGATGGAGCAGAACCGCCAGCCAGGATGGCTGCTGAGATCAACCCTAACACTTCTTGAAGACAAAAGGGCATTGAGAAGGGAGGTAAAACAGCTAAGTGATGAGCAGCAGGTGTGAGGCAGTGCCCTAAGCTCCAAGAGTTGCCTAAGGCCTCAAGACTACAGGTTGCAGAAATTCATGCCTTCCCTGATCACATCCACTCACAAACCCCAAGTTGTGTCCTTTTTTTTTTTTTTTTTCCTGTGTGACACTGGACACTTTGTACTTGGAATTTTAATGCAACACAGATGTCACCTTTACCCTCAATATGGACCTTTCTATTATGGGGTATCCCATAGCACTGTGCACTTGGGATCCTGGTGTGGAACAAGGTCTGTGTCAGGAAGGTTCAAGGCACAGAGAGGAAGTGTCTTCAAAGGGCCCTGCCATACATAAAATAAGCCTAAGTCTGAGGAGGCTATGGCCATTCCTGCTCCCCTGGGGTTTACACCAGTGTCACCAGTGCATATGCCTTTAAGTCCAGAGCTTGGGGTTCAGTGACTTCTGGAGAGTGTCCTGCAGGATGGTCGTGAGGATTGCATGATCTTCTAGGATGGTGTTACAAACTCAAATTTTTGTTCCTGGGTTGAAACTAGTCAGTACATTTAAAACAGAAGCTGTCCAGCACTCCTGGGTCTCAGTCTAAGCTAATGAAGGCTCTTCCAATGAACTGCAGAGACCCTGGGCCAGAAGCGATGTGGCTCTCTCATAATGGCCTGCCCACATTTCCAAATATGCAACGGCAGCCTAGCAGAAAGTTCACCGTGACAGTGAACTGGCATCAGGCTGGCATCAGGGAGGAAAGGCTAGGGGTTTCCTGATCTGGAAAGCCAACACTCAGGACTGTTCTCCCTAGCCATCAACCAAGCCCTTAAGGCACCTGCAATGTGGCCTGTACATTCAGAGTCCTCTCCATCTACCTGGGTTCTCACGCATTTTCAAAGTAAGCTGCCCTCCATAAAGCTTTTTATAGACATCAATCAAGGCAAAGTGAACCTGGATATCCAAACGCACGCCACATGTCTAAAGTGAGCTTGGATGTCAGTGAGTGTTTAGATCTAAGTATGAACATCTGCATTCCCAGGTCATCATCACTCAAGTATCAACTTGGTTGCACCTCTCTCGTGAATAGGTTTTGGGGACTATGACATGAGGACAACACTTCAAATACAGCGTATGGCACCAAGGAAAGATCACCAGGAAAATAGACCTGAAGAGGTCAGGAGTTTTTGCTTTGCTTTTTGGGGCAGGGTCTCACGATGTAGTCCTGGCTGGCTATGTAGCCCTCTCTAGCTCTAGCTCAGAGGTCTGCCTGTTGTGATTAATTATGTACAGCACTGCCTCTTCCTGGGGCCAGGATTTTTTTGGTCCATTCTGTTCGCTAACATACATTAAAGCACCTAGGACATCTTAAAGACTCAAAACTAAGTTGATCTTGGAACTCTTCTTGCCAGGAGATACTTCTGACAATCGAGCTTACAACAGCCAGCATTGGATTCACTGCTGGAAATGACATGAGCGGCCTCCAAACAGTCAAAGGGACAGAAGGCTCTAGGCATTTAGCCTTTGAATGTTTAACACATATTTCAGTCTGCATAAAGGGTAAGAGGAACTGGAATGGAACAGTTCCTGCTTTACCAGATGGACATGGATGACACGCCTTCTTGGAAACTCTTCCATTTGGCATAAAGTGCCTGAGGTTCCAGCACCTCTGTCAGAGCCAGGGACATCACGCAGAATGGGGAGAAGCACACCCTGCTCTTTACCAGTGTGGGTGGAACAACATGCAGGGCCAGCAACAGTCCACTCCTTGCTTTCTGCACAGTGGAAATCAAGATCCAGAAAACTGCACTCACCCAAGGCCAACCCACCAACACCAGGAAAGGACAAGGGTCCAATGAATGCATGCATGCTAAGCAGACAGGGTGGGAAGGATCCCGATGTTCCTCTTTTTCAGAACACCTCCAAGATCTGGCTTCCTGGCAGGGCACTGTGCATCTGCACACACTTGTGTACAGCATTTAAAAAAGCAACTACTGAAGGGACTTCGAGCTTCCATCACTCTCCCCTCCTTTTCACTGGGTTGCCTAGAACCTGGCTGGTAGTCTTGTGAATACCTAGACAAGCTGTCGGGCCTGCAGTCCCCTACCTAGAGGAATGTCAGAGAGTGGGCTCTAGGATGCAAAGTGCCCAACTACTGGAAATGCCTCCTATACACATGTTAAAGGCCCTGGAGCAAATGTAATGCAAGCCTCTTTGAGTCATTGCCTGGGAGAACTATAATGTCAATCTGCAAACTAAACTCCAGGCAGCACAGATGGAGCTGAAATCTCAGGTAACAACGCCCTCAGTCCTTTGCACTATTCTCAGAACCCACAAGGCACTTCTTGGCCCAGTGAAGTGTCCACCCTCTGGAGAGGAATCAACTGCAATTAGCAAAACTCAGGTGATGCCCACAGACACAGGTGGAAAAAGGTGGCAGGGCTACACACCAAACAAGGTCCCAGCAGCCTGCTCCCCCTCATGGACAAAATGCAGTCCTTTCACAACTGTTCACAAAGTGTTTATTGGTTACAATGATAGAGAAGGTACCATCCAATTGTCTCCTAGTTATCAGGCATTTTTTAAATAAAAATAAAAATAAAAAAAAACCTCTTTCTTAGCCATCTAACAAGCAGAGGATGTATCCATTCTAAGAAGGAAAATAGCAAACATCACTCTTGTATGTCTGTAATAAACTCTGTCAGGGCTACATTCTACATTGGTTAAAAATCAATGAACAATCCCTTTTGTAGTCAAATTGTAAATTTTAATGTTTCCATTAGAAGTCTTTATAGCACTCTGCAACAAGAAGCAATAAAATAACTAAGAGCAAACCAGTACAGCAGCAGACACTGTCCAGATTAACAATGCAAACAAAAATGTGAGATGTAAATCACACAGTACAATTGAAGCACCCAAAACAATTTAAATAATTTTAAATATTTTATTTTTAAACTGCAACAAATGCTTTATACAGTATTTCAACATAAAGTCTCCTTAACAGAAATGTAACAAAAATGGGAATGATAGTGAAAGGTTAAAGTGGCACAAATTCATCAAACAAGTATTAAACTACAAATTTGAAGAGGTAGATTACTTTTAAGGTTGAGTACAAAACACAGTATGAATAAAATGTAGCTATTTTCCACCAACTCGGTCATTACCGTGGGGAAAGCATCAGGACTCATGGAGAGTGGTACTGATGCACTTACTGCTGAAGGAAGAGCCCAGTCCGTTGCTTTCAATCTACTGAGACTGAAGTATAAGCCTGGTGTGCTGATCCATAATACAGCTATACAGGCCTGGGTGCTTTCCATTCTCTGATACACTGCTACGTAGCATCTCATAATATGACAGCTATAAATTAGTGCCAGGTAGTGAGAGGCTAACATCCACTTGGACACTAACAAAGGCATAAAAAGCAGTCCATATCCAATCTGGTTTCCTCTGCATTACACTGGCAATGTTTGTGATTTTTATGAGGCAAGGGGTAGCAATCAGCCAAACTCTTCTCTGTGTAATACACGTGAAAGAAAGGCATCAAGGGCTGGTATGTAAGCAAGCATTTTAAGGAGAGTGCACCGATCTGTCATCCCTGAAACTGTGAGGGCCACTGATAAAAACAAGAGTACTTGCTTTGCAAGGTTCAGTTCAATCACTCCCTTATCTGCTCTCTGCCAGACTCAAGGGCCGGCCGTACTCAGAGCCAAATTACCAGTCCAGTGATGAGGAAGGAGCCTCCTCTTTTTGGACCTCAATCCCCCGAGAGACCAGCACATATATGAGCACACCCAAGAGACAGATGCCTTACTTAGTCTAACCAGGGCAAGAAGCCTGTTGGCAAGCGGCTGTACAGTACAGCTTTTGATTCAGCTTCAACTGGTCTTGCAAGCTGGGTAGAGTTCATATCTTGTGACGTAGTGCTTATCCTAAGTTGAACATGCAATGTCTTTTAGTCAATTAAAGGTTTGTTTTGTGGGGGTGGGGGGAGGACTTTTCTACAGGAAGTTCCTAGAAAATAAAAAAACTGAAGATAAATGACAACATAACACAACCTTGCATGAACCGATCATGTTAAAGAAAAGGGTAAAGAGACTATAACACAAATGTCACCAAGACAGAAACACATAAATGACTCTTAAATTTTAGAAACCCAACTCCTGCTCCAAAGACACAGGCTCTTTCCCATGCATGGAGTAGGAGGTGCTGTCGGGGGAGAGGACTACTTGGTTAACTCAACACTTGGTGGGGATGGTGTAGAGCCTGTCGGGAGTTACTTCTTTTCTACCTTTCTAACTTCTGAAAAAGGGATGGGAGTGGGGTGACATGGACAATGAAAACATTGCTTGGATAGAGCAGACCTTTGGATTCCAGGCGGGAACATGGTTAAGAGTCTGATTTCCTCTCTGAAAGAGTCCTCAGCAACATGTCCAAAGGCAGCAGCAAGAAGGCCCAGGCCGACTGTGCTACATACACTGGGCAAGGCTCACCTGCTCTCTTTGCCTGTCTGTCTGTGTGTCTGTGTCTGTGTGTGTGTGTGTGTGTGTGTGAGAGAGAGAAAGAGAGAGAGAGAAACATTTGGAACACTTTTTTTTTTTTTTTTTTTTTAACCCCCAGAACGGCATATCAGCTGGTGCTCCAGGAAGTGGCCAACTGATAATCTGTGGAGTTCTGGACTCAATGCTATGTTCTGGTTACATGCGTGTGGCTGATAACAGCCATGTCCTGGAAAAACTGCAGACCCCTACACTGGCTTTCAAATAATCATGGTTTGCTGCAATTAACAAGCAGGAAGAAATAAGCTGCTAGTTATGCAGTGCTGAGAACAGCAAACCCCTGCACATGGGAGCTCCGCGAACAGCTGCTTGCATCAGAGCCTCCTCTAAGTCAACTGAGAAGCACTGGCGCGGAGGACCACTGTCAGTACACAGTCCTCCCTTCTCAGCTACAACACACAAGCAGAGAGTGAGCTCAGTCTAGACTGTATCAGTCCTGAGTTAGAGGACACCTGGCATACATATGCCAGCAGCCAAGAATCCTACCGTTGCCTACATTTGCATACTCTGCAGAAATGCCCATTCTTATGTTTAGACAGTCAAACATCTTGTCCCATTGGACATGGGTTGTAGCCCCATTGTAAGTGGCTTGGATGATGCCCCCACCCTGTAGATCTGTCTACAACACTGGGGAACTCACAAAGGAAAAGAACTGGCCACCAGGGACACCTACTACAAAGTCTGTTGTTGAGTGCACTAGTCATGCTTTTGTTATCTGTTGTTTGTTATAAGTGATTCTGTGTCAACTTTAACTCCAGCAATGTAACTCTGCTAACTATCAAAATAGTTTGAAGTGTACTGAAGCAAAAAGGAAAAGGAGAGACTTTATTTTGGGGCATTTTAGCTTTAAGGAGTCTTTAAAACACCATCTAAGAGTGAAGCAGCAAGTGAACTTTATACATACACATTAGCTCTCATGTTCTTAAACATTCACCCTTGAAAAGTCTGAGCAGGATCCAGTACGAAAGAGGAAATTCTTTTAGAAAGTACTAGAACAGAGTACATCAACCACTGTTCTGCATGGTAACCCACAAAAATGATGGTTCAACAACGGTAAAAAGGAGCACTAACAACTGAAAACAGTGCTTTCTACCACCACAGCCAACTAACTCCATGATGCCTCCCTCCTGTGCACTGGTGTGGCCAAAGATGACCAGATCTATAGCAACTAAGACTCAGCACGGTTTTGAATACCTTTTAAAAATTCCAATCAATCAGCCCTAGAGTAAATCCTTGAAATCAACCTTAGTTGGTGCCCACTGTCTAGAGCTTTCTTTTGCTATGCTTTAAGGCACATGTATCACCAAGAACTCTACCTGATCAGTCATACAATGACAATGAAATCTTTGTTATGCCTAGGCCTTCTCCAAAACAAGTCACTCCGCAGCTGTCCCTAACCCTGTTTGCTTCCAACACCTAGAATTATAGCTATGACAGCCCAGAATCAAGGCAGGCTGCATACAAGGTGACCAAGTATTTGCAGAGATGCCTTCTGATAGCCACTGACTGGGGACATGGGGACATTTTTTGGGGAATTCTAAATGTCAATGTTAACAGCCTGAACTATGGCCACATCATCCTGTCTGTCCCTGAGAACCATTTGTAATATGGGGAGAACATGAACTAAGGCAGTTAGGCCAGCTCAGATGTAATGAGACCCAATGTTCCTGGGAAGGCACTGAGCCTCAGGGCCACAGGCCCTGCCTCCTGCAGTCTCAGTGCCTAACTCCACTCTTCCTGTCCATTAGAACCTTGACTGCTGATCACACTGTGATTGTAAGCAGAGGGCTGGAGGGAGAATATAAGGCATTTTAAAGACATACGGTATTTTATTTTAAGCGATATGGAAAATGTTTAAATTCAAACACTAGTATATGGAAGCACTAATAATAAACATTATTATCTCAGACATTAGGTACAACTATGCTTAAGTTACAAACTATTACAAGAGTGCACTGTGGTTGCTGATGGATTGTGACCCACTCCACCCAGGGAATGTAGGACCAGGAACCACCATGAGTGGCACTGAAACACTGCCCAAAATGTGAATCTTTTCACACGGGCAAATGGGTTCGAGTTCCATCCAGAAATTAAAGAAATGGCTCTTTGTGAGTACTAAGTCTGAAAAAAAGAAATGTATTTATTCATCTGTACATCAGCCAAAGCAGCAAGAGTATGTCTGCTGCAAATTATGCAACTTTGCCACTCTGCTAAAATGCTCGTGTCAGCATTTTATAGGAGGGGGAAGCAAAACCATTGTCCAGGACGGCTACAGCTCTGCTGGCAGTCTCACCTCCCCGAGCTCTGGGCTTACCTCAAGTCCTTCAGCTCATGCCTGGCACTGCTGTCCTCTCTCCTGCTTTCACTCAGGTCCGGAGCCAGCTGAAGGCTTCTGGTAATTGGGCCCCCATTGCGCTCCCTAGATTTTGTCGTGAAGCGGTCTGTTCTTTTCTTACTGGCCAGCGCAGTCTTGCTTTGTAGAGCAGCCTTGCTCTTCTGCACTCTCACGTGCAGATTTCGGGATGATTTGCTTGAGAGCTGAGCAGAATGACTCTTGGCAACAGCTTTGGATTTCTTACCCTCAACATGAGTAATTTTGGCCATTCTTATAGGACTAGAGTTCCTCAAGGACGAAGAGCTTGCCTTTTTTGATCTGACTGAGGCCGCAAACTTGACATTCTGTCTGGATCTGAAGGATGAGGAGGGCACTGAGGCTTGGGCCGGGCCTGAGCTCCGAGCTCTGGTCTTGCCCAAGGGCGCCTGCGTGTTCTGCATCTTAATCTCTGTGTCGGCGGTCCGTCTCCGGGGGTTGCTGCTGTTGCTTCTGTCACTGCTGGCAGGTGATGCGTGGCCACCTTTCTTGGATGAATGGGAAACTTTTCTTTTGGAAGGAGACAGGGGCTTTTTAGGACAGCTGAAGGCGGCATGCTTGTTGAGGCTGCCAATGTATGTGAACTCCCTGTCACAGTAAGGGCAAATGTGCGAGGATACCTCGGAAGTGTCCTTCGGGTCTGTCTTCTGCTTCGCAGACCTGTTCTTCTGAAGGATCGCCTTCTGTACTAGCTGGTTTTTTTTCTTTAGTGCACTTAGCTTGAGCTTATTTGGAGACATTTTGCCAAGTTCAACATTGAAGCTCAGTCTCTTGGGCTGCCCCATCCGCCTGAAGGCATTTTTCCCAGAGTTGTCTAAAACCACCACTCCATTTTTGGGTTGCACAGTTTGTTTCAGGGGCACTGGGTTTTTCTTAGGGGTGTACCTCTTCTTGTCACTTGCAGATGCACAGGCCAAGATATGTTTATGCAGCTCAGGCATGTTATCAACACCCTTTCCACACTTTGTGCAGCGAATGGCGGTTGTGAAAGTCTGTGGAATATTGTGGGTAGTGAAGTTTGTGGCCGTTACGCCAATCCCCATGGGGTTTCTATGGTGATACTGAAACGGAGGTGGTTTAAAGCTTGGGTAGTGCTGATTGAGACCAAGTCGAACATCTGGATCTTTCGTCTTTATTCCAGAAGCCATTATTTTGATGGTTGTATAAAGCTCTTCAGAAGAATCATTTAACTCCTCCTCTCTAGAAGTTTCCAAAGGCTCTTCTGGCAAATTCTGCATATGCTCCACATGGGCCTTGCTGGGGTCTGTGAAGTTCTGGGGCCTCAGGGTCCCACTTTCAAACTCATGGTGTGTGCACACCTCATCTGGGTGGAGGTCTCGCTGGTGCTGTTGCAAATTGCACAAGAAGGCAAATTCTTTCTTACATACAGAACACACAAAGATGTTCCCGACTCCGTGAAGCAGAAACCGATGCTCTGATAGGTCAGTCTTATCCTTAAAAAGCTGTACACAAAACTCACATTTGAAGGGCCACTCTTCAGCATGAACAGACAGATGTTTGGTTAGGTCTTTAATGGAGAGGAAAGGCGACTCGCAGACATTGCAAACAAAGTTCTTGCTGAATGTTTCTTGACCAACACTCTGACCACCTGCAGGTGGGGCTTCTTCCTTGGGTTTCAGACCTTCGCTCTCTGACTCCTCCTGTTTGAACGTTATTCCAGGGAGAGGTACTTCCAGGTTGTCCCCAGAGGAGACCACAGATGACACTGCTGAGAGAGGGGGTGGAGAGGGGGATGTGGAGGAGCATGAAGAGGAAGAGAAGGAGGAAGAGGAGGAGGAGGAGGACAGTGTTGGAGGACCAGGGGACGCAGCAGACATGAGCGGCTCCACGGGAGGGATGGGAGAGGGTGACGGGGACACTGTTGGGGACAGAATTGGAAGGGGAGACTGTGCAGTGGCATTTGAGAATGGAGAGGGGCAGTGCTGAGAAGAGGCATCAGAAGAGGGAGTGGGGAGAGGGACAGTTGGGAGGAGGGGAGGCGGTGGCGTAGCAACAGTTAACACAGGAGGACAGGGGGGAGGGGAAGAAGGCTCTGTGGGTATCAAGAGAGGAGGTAGCTGACCCGAAGACAGAGAGGCTGTCTGCAGAGAGGGTGACGGGGGGCCAACAACCTCAGGTGGGGACTCAGCAGTGGGCGCTGAGCAACTCGAGTCAGGACCGAGTTCAGGATGTGACTGTGTATCTGGGGATTTACAAGGACTTGGGCTCCTGGTCACCTCAGGTGTGGTCTCCGTAGGTAAGCTAACACCATTGTACTCGTTGAGAAGAACCTTTTGTAGCATGCAGGTGGTTGGCTTCTTCTTCTTTGCAGCACCACAGGCTGGCTGTGCCGAATGGTTCTCTCTGAATTCCTTGCCTTCAGTATCACAAGGCTTTTTATGCACACTGAGGTCCAATACAGACTCCCACGGGCCTGGAGTCTGGCCTGTGCCCTCTGATTTCTGTCTGACCCCGCTGGATAAATCCAATGGCTGCTGGTTGCACACGCTGCTGAAAGTAGACGTGGCCGCCCGTTCTTTTGTTATTTTGTATTCGTCAAAGCAGGGAGGGCTTCCAGTTTCTCTCTCATCTCTCCCAGATAGACTCCATGCGGGTGAGTCACTCCGATTTTCTAATTTGGGTTTCTTGGAAGTCAGAACTGCATCTGTCCATGCTGCTTTCCCATCACTTGCTTTCCCAAAGTCTCGAAGGGAAGGGCTGTGCTGTGGGGAACTGGGTGGAGAGCTGGTGCGCCTCTTAAACCTGCTTGAGGTCACAGGTAACATGGATGCAGGGGCAGATACACACACAGGACCTAACTTAGGAATCTCAGCTGCTGAAATCCCCACAGGAGGAGTCAGTTTGTCCTGGGTCTGAAGAAGCTGCTTGAGCTTTGAAGACAAATAGACACCCTTCTCTTTATGGAAGGACACCACCTCTGTTGTTGATATGCTCAGAGGCAAACTTAAGGAACATGAGGGTGCTGTGGGGTCAGAATCTGTCTCAGCTTTAATTTTGGGGAGCACAGGTGGACTGGCAGTTCTCCGTTTCTTGGACTCACAATTTGTGCTACTGGGAGACTCTTTAGGAAGGTCATCTGTTACAGAGACCTGGGTGTTCTTTATATTTTGAGTAATTTCCACAGTCACTGGAGCGAGCAGACAATCTATGCCATACAAGTGTGCAGAATTAGACTCCATCTCAATCACGTCACAATTACTAGTGCTGTTGTTGGTTTGAATCTTACCATCAATATAGTAATTTAGATTTTCAGAGATGTTGCTTGAAATGTCCATGATGTAAACATCATCAGCTTCCCCTTCCTCTTCTGGCTCTGTGCTTGGAACATAGACATTCTGGGAGGGCGCAGCCTGCTCTGCTGGTGGCTGCGGCTCTTCCAGGAATCCTCCTTTTCGACGGACACCTTTGGGAATCAGGTGGCGTTCGTGAACTCTGCGCTGATGTCGTCTCATATTGGTGTGAGTTCCAAATACCTTTTTGCAGTATTTGCATGGGTGAAGTTCTTTAACTTCACCATTCTCTTCCACGAAAGATGAATTTATTATTTCCTGGGAGGTTTTCTCTGAGTTGAGTATCAGACAGTCTTGCCCAACTTGAGGCGAACCTGACTCATCTTTAGAAGTGACATTTTCCACCTTGCCATCATCTAGGTCCTCGGAGGGCTGTAGTGTCACACTGGGTCTTCTCTTTAACCCTGCTTCGTGGCGACGTTCATGCCGCCTCCTGTTAATCTGCGTGCCGAACGCTTTCCCACAGTACTTGCACTTAAAAGCATGGTTGATTGTAGACATGTGGATATGCATGTGACGTTCAAGCCCCTGCTTGGTTGCAAATTTTCTTTCACAATGCTGACATGGAAACATAAACGTTTCAAACACATCGCCGTTGGCCTCCTCTCTAGTTCTGGGGATGTGGAGAAGAGGGGCTGCGTCTGGAGAGTCTTCACATGTTTCATTTGAAATGTCCTGTGGTTCTTCCAGTAAGTCCTCTGGCTTCTCTTCACACCGTATCTCTGGCTCGTTCACACATCTTTCATTCAGCGTGTCAGCCTCTTCCTCCCCATCTTCTTCCAGTTCCTCCTCCTCTTCCTCTTCCAGCTCCTCCTCCTCATCCTCCTCCTCCTCTTCCTCCAGATCGTTGATCTCACAGTCTGTGACTTCTTGCTTTCCATCTGGCTCTGGCTGTGGCTCACAGGCAGGGAGAGGGATGGCCACCTGTGGAACCGCATCCTGGCTGGTCACCTCAGGGAGAAGGGCTGGTTGCTCAGGTGCAGAAGCCAAAGGCCTCTCGTCTTCTTCCTTAGGACCTAGGGAGCACAGAGGAGCAGAAGCACAGAGATAAGGACACACTGGCTGCTGTGTGATCAACTCCTATGACTATTGCTGGAAGACACTAAGACATGTGAGCAAGAACCACCCGTTTATTAAGCTGAGCTGGGTACAAATCCCTCCCACAGACTTAACTTAGGAAGGGAACAATCTGGATGCTTCAAAACAAGCATGTCCACAGGGTACTGAGCTTTTTTATTTACAAAACTGTAGTGTCTACAATGGTGTTGCAATAGTCGGTGTTAACTGTAACTAATTACAAATTTCAATTTTTCATGACTCAAAAGAACTTGCTAACCCTATCAGATTAGATTCTTGACCGTGTACCTGAAGGACAGAACAAGAACTCATTCTAGAATGATATAATCTGTTCTTCATGTCAAAGACACTTTCTATCTCTTAGACACATAATCCAATTGTCATATATAAGGAGCACTTCACTGAAGAAAACAGCAATGTGTAATCACTTGTGAGTCTATACACTTGTTACCATCTGACCTAGACAGTCCAAGAGGAGGGTTTGTTAATGGGGCCACTGCTGAGGAGAAACATAAAGAAAATAAGCCATGCAATCCTCAGGTGGACAAATGCATTATTGGGCAGAGGAAACAGCAAACATGTGAGCGTTAAGTCAAGAGAACTAAGCAAGTTCAAGGTCAGGAGGGTTGTAGGAGAGGGCTGGGAAAAGGCCAAGAGATGAGTCTAGAGATAACCCAGATGCAATGAGAAGCTGGCCATTACCCGAGTCAACAGGGAGGTAGTTCGAACAGATAATCATGCTGCTCACTGGAAGGGAAATGGAAAACCTAGGTGGGTAAGGGGGGGGGGGGGAGTAGGTGAAAAGAGCTCACTGATCTAGGAGAGGTTCAGGACAGTGACATGACCGAGAAGGTGGTGGAAGTACCCAGAGACCCTGGGTACATATGTCTTAGAAATGAACCTGACAAAATATGCTTATTGACTGGCTGTAGTGAACAGCCAGAAGACTGCAGGAAACTGCAATAATCTTGTTTACAAAACAAGCCACAGTGACTACAGGAGGAGCAGGGACATCTATGTACATGCGTGGCAGACAGAAATCATGAGTTTACTTAGGATGTGCTAAAGTTTGGGGTATGGTAATACAGTTGTCCCAGTGAAGATATTAAGTAGGATTTCATTAAGAAGACCAGGGCACCTGCCCATACCCAAGTCTTCAGAGGAAAAAGGTTAATGAGCAATGAACTTCAGACTATCTATTAAGTGGACAGACAGACAGGAAAGGACTATATCCCAGACACCGGGAAGGTGTGATGGCTACTGTTGCCTTTGTCAGCTTGACCTACCTGGGAAGAGTAAACATCAACTAGGGAAGTGCCTCCATGACATCACCCTACTGGCATGTCTGTGGGGCATCTTCTTGACTGATGATTGATGCTCGAGGGTCCAGTCCAACAAGGGCAGTGCAACCCTTGGGCATACTAAATTAAAAACTGTAGCTGACTTTGAGCCTTGAAAGCAAGTCCAATAAGCATTAGAGTTCCTCCATGGTTTCTGCTTCAGTTTCTGCTTCAGCTTCCCTCACTGAAAGGCCAAAACCCATAAGCCAAATAAACTGTTTCTTCCCCCAAGTTGCTTTTGGTCATTGCTTTATCACAGCAACAGAAGACAAACTAGGACTGAGAGTGAGGAATGGCCTTTAGGTCAAGAAAACAAGTCACAAGGAAGGAATGGTCTGCTCAGTCCAGAGCTTCCAGATGCAAGCCAGCAATTATCCTATAATAAGCTAATAGCCATATGTGGTGTGGCATGTGCAGGCTAAACCCAAAGTCCTTAGGCATCAAGGATGGAAAAGGAAAAACAACAGGGAACAATCAAAATGAGACAAAAAGCATCCAGTACAGCATCTGAATGCAGTAAGAGTCATTTGGGAAAGTGAATTAGGGGATGGATAAAGAGATCAAGAAAAAAAAGGCATTCCTGAATGCTGAGAGCAAGGTGAACAAGGTGCTGTTGGAGAATACGCTATGAGACAGACGCAGAAACTGTCCAACTGTCAGCACACAACAGGCTATCCACAGACAGGGACCTCTAGAGGGAGGAAATGCTAAAGAGTGGCCTACTGCTACAAGCTCTGCAAACACAAAGGTAAGAACAAAAGTTCACTTAACCACCTGGGCCTCAGCCCTCTTGCTATTTATTTCCTAGAAACGGGATCGTGCTTCTACCATCTGCTGCCACTCATTAGCAATAGGCTCCTGTTTCTAAATAGACGGTCTTCTTTCCCTTAGACACATTTCAACAAACCCAGAGGGCCATCAATAATGGTAATAACACATTTCAAACGAGCTCTCAGATAGACTTTTAACAAGCGCCAAGAACACTGGACAAGTGAACATGGGACAAGAGGAATATATTTACACGGCTCAAAGGGGGCTTTCTTGAGTTTGTTTTCTGTGACAACTTGTGGTTTCCTTAGTTTTAAAAGTTGTCTAAAACTGATGATCAATATGGTTTGACACCGTCTAGAGCAGTGGTTTTCTCAACCTTCCTAATGCTCTGACTCTTTACTACAGTTCTTCATTTTGTGGTGACCCTAACCATAAGTCATTTTTTTACTACTTCATAACTGTGATTTTGTTCCTGCTATGAATCGTAACGTAGGTATCTACTATGCAGGACATCTGATATGTGACCCTCAATGGGGTCCCACAGGTTGAGGACCACTGGCCTAAAGTAACAGGTGTTTAGTGTGCAAACTCTCACTAACAAGGCAGGCCTACAAGGCAGTGAGAGAAAGCCTGGGTCAGCAGCGGCACTAGGCAGCGTGACCCTCACACTGACCAGCAGTGCCACACACTGGCCCTGCGTATCAAGTGTCTTCTTCAAGGTTTTTCATGGTACAGCAGGAACAAAAACTCTTGTTATTAAAGGAGCCGCTTACATTTTCAAACTTGACTATTAAATAAAAATTGTTTAGCATATTTTTCTATTGTTCAAACAAATGTCTTAGTCAATTTTGCTCTCAAGAGGCAAAAGTTAGATTTATCTAAGACTGGAAAAAATCTCACTGTCACTTCTCCACTGTGTAAAGCACAAAGCGGGGTTGGGGATGCAGGGGCTCCTCTTCTTCCAGCAATTCCTTCTGTTTAAAATCACACTGACCTTCTACCTGACTCCCTCAGCCACCGTGAAGGCCATGTACACAAAGAACCCATCTACTTCTGAGTCACAAAAGGGCACAAAAAAATGTGATTCTTTTGAGTGTTGTCATCACCAACAGAGCAAATTAAGTGGCCATAAAAGGGATTCAAAATATCAATAGCCCCCTACTCCCTCCCTCACACAAATGTTTCTTGCAAGAGTCACAAGACCATATTCTGAAATCTGCCTAACTGGGAAATGACTCGCGGCAGCTCCTGTCTCCATGTGAACTTGCCTGTAACAGAGTCCCAAATACAGCAGCTCAACTGCACTGAACAGGGACAGTTGACTGTTAACTTTCAAATCACCTCTTTGTAAGTGCTTACATCATGAAAGTTCTAGAATATCAAACACCCAGAGGCATTATCAAGGGGAAAAAAACATAATTTTGTGGAAAGAATAATGAAAGAGATTAAGATCTTTAAATCCTGATCCAGACTAGAAACACTTTTCACTCTGCTACACAAAAACCAAAGGTGTCTAATATTTAAAGTGTAAGTCACACACACACTAACATAGATAAAGTATATCATTAAGACAAATTTTTTTTCCTAAGTAAATAATGTCTGTGTAACCATTGCTAGTAATAACCTATAGCATCTTCATGGCCTGCCAGCCTAGCTTCTATTATTAGAGATTTGTTTTCATAGCATTCAACACACACACAGAGAAAAAAAAAAGTTTTTAGTCAATCTTAGTATACAGAACAGTCTACATGGCTGGCCTTGAACTCAAGACTCACCTGCTACCTCTGCCTCTCTAGTGCTAGGATTAAAGGCCTGAGCTACTATGCCCATCTTTCATTATGAACCTAACCATGTAGTATGCTTCACTTTAAGGGGGAAATTATTTCATTTTGAAGAAGTGGGGTATGGACATTCAGTTTACATTAAACTTAGCTTTTTTGCTATTTGGGCCCTCTACAGTTCTTGGCTACTTCCCAGGTGGGCTAGGCAGGAGACAAAAAGTTAGAAGTAATAACACATCTCTAGATCACTTACCTTCTGCAGAGCCTCTCATGTTTGCAAAGGAAGAGTCTGGGTCACCTGCCTTCAGCTGTGTGGCCTGGGTTCTGATGCCTTTGTTTTTATTCTCTTGGGATTTCTTCTTCCCTGAAACACAGCATATATTTATTTATTCACTCATGATCACTCTGACCCTTGACACAAATATTAACTGAAGCAAAGTAAACTCTATTTGTAGGCAATTATTTTAGATTTCTAAAGAAAGGAATGGGTGATTAACTGTAAATACCATCAAATCTGTCAGAGAAAAAAGAAATTCATAAGTCCTACATTTTTAGATGCTTGGTCCTTGGTTTCACAGCTGCAATATAATAGCTATCAAGTAAATGAACAATGTAATTTCAAAAAGTTAATAACAGGCAGGGGGTTGGTGGTGTCGACCCATGCATGCCTTTAATCTCAGCGGTTATGAGGCAGAGGCAGGCAGATCTTTAAAGCTAGTTCCAGAACAGCCAGACCTACACAGAGAAACCTGGTCTCGAAAAACAAAACAAAATAAAATTATTAATAAGAAAGAAACTTTAGGATCAACAAAGTTTGAAATTATATAAATAATACAGACAAAGACAGAGAGAAACAATAAGGTGTAACTTTGAACCTTTTACTGGCTAAGACAGAATAACCCATAACCGCAACGTCTACTTTAGAAGTAGACATTGCCCTGCATTATAAAGGATAAATAGGGCTCCAACAGTAAATGCAGAAGGATCATTAATAATTCTATCAGCCAGCACAGATCTTATTTCATTAATAACATGGGAAGAGGCACACAAAATTCAGGAAATACTAACTGCATTCCAGATGATCCCAAACCATAGAAGACGAGATTAAAACAGGACATCTCCTGAGAAATGCCAGCGAACTGAATCCCCAAAGGAATATAGCAAAGTACACTGCAGGTTCACCTTAAAGGACTGACCCCAAACTGGTAATCAGATCCAGGAGAGTCTCAAGTCCCTCCCTGAACACTCCCTTCTCTTCCAAAACTTCTCCTCACCATCCCACACCACTCCCCAAAATACCCATGTTTCCCTGCTTTTCCTGAACAAGCCTTTGCCACCTTTATATCCACTTCAGCTAAAGACAGACAAACACCCATCACTCCAGAACATGGAGAAATCACATTCTCAGTAATATGAATAGCAGATGATCATGAGAGGAATGGCTGGCCATAATGAAGACAACCAATAAAAACTAATGTCATACTCTCAAAATGACATAATTGAAAAGATCATTAGATTAAAATCAGAGAAATCATATATATATATATATATATATATATATATATATATAACTAAAGAGATTGATAATTTAACAGATATAACAAGAAAACAAACTACACAAGTCATTTAGTTTCTAGTCCTAAAATATTTTAAGTGCCTAAATCTTTAGCCATAACAGGCTTGGATTTTTTTTTTTAATTTATTTTATTAAGGGGGTGGGGGGCGGTATTCTTATAACTATGTGGTTAGAAGTTCTTTTCCCCATACAGCTGCAGTGGCTTGGAACACAAGCACACACCTGACCAGAAGCACACCTCCACTCTGGTACGAGGATCATGACAATGGTTGATCCCATCTCCAGGTGAACAATCATACTAACGGGCACCACACAGGCACCTCCCACGGGGGAGGGTGGATCTCCAGACACCCCGTATTATTGACCTTACACTGCTTAACCTAACCCTGTTAACTGCCGACAAAGGCTCTTGAAGGTTCTATGTTGAATCTGGATTCTCTTCCCCTTTCGACAGCTGCTTCTACTCAATGTCTATGTTCTTCCTGTGTGTGATGTTCAGTCTGAATGAGAATAGTGACCCTAAACAAAATACATAGCAACAACACACACAAACACATAACACGAAAAAATAAATGACCCAGAGACTGATATTGGGGCTCAACCTGAAGATCAGGGAAGCAAAGCAGCCGGCCAAAAGCTGTCACCTCTAGCTCAGGCTGAAAGGGCTGATCCACGCACAAGCTCTTCACCAGGTCTCAAAGTGCTGCCTCTCCTCAGCGTGTCTGGAGAATTCTGAGACTTCAGTGTCTTCCTATCATCATTGATACTGAGCTTTCCTATCTTCAGTGTGGTTGGAGAATGAATGCCTGATACTGAATACTGAAGTCCCTGCTTCTATCTTTTATTCCCCTCTAGTGCTGGGATTTAAGGTGTGTGATCTGTTACCCTTTTAGACTGATTCAATCTAGGGTATCCCTGGGTGGCCTTGAACTCAGAGAGAGATCCCTCTTCTCTTAACACTGAGACCTAGGATTAAAGGTGTGTATCACCACCTAGCCTCCAGCTGCTGGGATTAAAGGTGTGTGTGCCTGGCTTCTATGGCCATAAGCTGACTTTGTTTTCTGAATCCTCAGGCAAGCGTTAATAAATCATAAATAATGTATCACCACACAAACATAAATCTGCCAATACGGTGCAGTTCAATTGCTCCACTTTCCCAAGGCCAGCAGTGGAACCTTCAGACACGGCACTCAAAAGTTACCCAGAGATGTTTTTCCCAAATCAAAACCACATCTTTTTCTAAGTACTATCAATACTTAGTATAGTCACTACTACCCCATGTCCTCAAGCAGGCTGAGAAATAGGACCCTTTACTATCACTGTCTACAAGTTCCTAAATGGGGAATTGTAATCCAAACAAGGCCTTCGCATAAGCTTCATATACATTAGAAATAAAGACATACTGTAAAATTTACTAGAAAAATAGGTGTCAGTCTGTCAACCACAATACCTTGCCCAGGAAACTCAAAGATTTTCTACAAGCCCAAGTGATTTCCACAAGTGCTGTACCATGCCCAAGTAGAAACATGAAACATATCAGACATATGGACACAAATGTATTTCCATTATAATAATACATGCATTTAAGTATGTGAAAGACAAATGCTATTTACACTTTTTATCTCCCTCCCCCCTCAAAAAACAAAACAAAGCACCCCAAGAACAGCTAGTTCATACCACATGTCCCCTTCTGGGCTCCTCACCAACAAGTTAGTTTCCTAGTCCCCAGGTAGTCACTGTAAAGCCACAGCCATGGAAATGCAATCCATTGTGAGGACAGACCACATCAAAGTGAGCACCCCCTGTACCTTCTTCAGAGGACAGAGGGCAGACAAGAGCATACCACATTCACAAACACAGCAGTAAGCCTGGCCTCCCAAGCATAGCACAGTGATGCTCTCAGTCACACAGTTCTCTGCTATGAGGACTGCTGATCCATCCTACTATGTTTCACAGCATCTTGCAGAGGGGCAGGGGTGCTCTACCCACAAGGTCTAGCAGCAATGCCCCCTTTCCCAGTGTGACAACCTAAAACTCAGAACACAGTGGCATCTCCCCTGTTCTCTGTGGGGAGATCTCTCAAATGTCAGGGCACTGGACTAGATCAATGTATTAGCTTTGAGGTCACAACAGGCACACAGGAATCTGTGGTCTATATATTTATTAGAAATTACAGTAAATTCTCAAATAACACTAATATAACAATTTTACAGATGAAGAAATGGTAGCACCAAGGTAACTTAGTGAACAATGGATTGTGTGGCAACAAGAGTCTAGTAAGACTATCACTTGTTCATGGAGCTAAGGAGATCATGAGAGGAAACAAAGTGACCCATCAGAACGCCTCTGCAGGGGACAGTGAACTTGAAGTAAGACACCACTGGGTGTCTGGCAAGTACACGAGTGCACTTACCAGGGTTCCTGCAGGCTCCTACATGGCGCTACTGCCAGCTGGCCGCTCCACTTGGTCTAGACAAGAAAGACACAGGAATGAACCATGAGGAGAGTGAAATGGGAATGGCTGGCCACAAAGAACAGCGTGAAGGACACCTGATGTGTTAGGCGAAGGAATGTGCACAACAAACACGAAGAAAAAGAAGGCAACGAATAATTATCCTGAAGTCTCATACAAAAGAAAAAAAAAAAAAAAAAGCGGCTCCTATGTTCCTATGTCCTTAAGTTGAAGTTAAGATCAATGTATTAGGCTCATTGTCAGGCCTGTACCATGCCTATATTATATGACATAAAGACCAATGATGGCCACAGCATCTACGGGCCATTCTTCTAGACTTCAAAGGAGCAACCCATGCCTCTGACACCCACAAATCTGAGATGGGAGGTCTTTTGACTATAACTCAGGAGCCAGAATTAGTGAAGACAATACTATTCAAAGTGTTCTCTTGCTGTCATCCCTAAGCTCAGTGATGGTGCTCAGTCAGCACATCCCATTCTTGGCACCCATTACTAGCCTGAGAAAGGAAGCTCCTGCACTCAGCTCAGGACAACAGTCAGGTTGGAAGGAAACACTCTTTCATTTTCATTTTACCTTACCTCACAAAGTAGAAGTCAACCACACAGAACCCTGCTCTGAACAAACATGACGATTCACCAAGGAAACAGCTGCCATATAAAGATACTGAGCAGTTGTAATGGCTACTGCTTTCTTAGACAATGGACAGCCTTATTATACTGCTAGTACCCAGGAGAGGCGTTACAAAGTCAGAATTGCTTAAGGCAGCCCATGAATAATTTAACCCAGACCTGGATGGACTATGTTCTACTATTCAAATAAACTAGACAAACAACAGGAAACTCTACAGAATAATGCTTCACTTAAAAATGTTCAGGCAGCAAAGAAAACTCCAGGTCTGTTCAAGCAACATTAAAAATTCAGCACAACAGTGAAGCTATTGCATATAGTGATTTACATGAACTAAATTTAGAGCCTCATGGAACTCTCCCTGTGTGCTGCCTCCTCACTGGGGAGCTAGCCATCTCCTCAATATCAACAGAATTAAGACAGCACAGAGGCCAGGCCTGTGGATCTTTCATACCATTTTCGGATACACAGAGAGTGGGCTCTACAGTAGACAGTTACGTCAGGACTGCCTATGAGACTCGACACTTTGCCATGGAAGGTCACTGAAGGTCTTGAGCAGCCCTGAACACAATCAACAGCAGCCATCAGACTGGGCTGTCTGCTGCCTCTAGTCCTCACCATTCAGCCAGCCCTTGTCCCCAGCACTTCAGGAAAATCCATTTCCCATGCTTATCAAGGATGTAATATA